CATCTTTTCCAACTTTGAAACCCAGTGGATTATTGTGAGTTTAGTTGCCCTGCTCTTTTTAAGTCCTTGAAGCAAGAAACTTTTGATGCTGTGTGTTTTTGCAAAATTAGCCCTTATTAGTCCGTGTGTTCTTCTATATTTGGTGTGCTTCATCAATTGTTTGTTCATGTTTATGTTCTCACTTCTCAGTTACCCATGATAAAGCCCCCTCTTTGGCAGGAGAGTAAGTTGTTTTTTCTCGAGCTGCTTCTAAATGATTTGCTTGTGTATATACAGATTCCGCAGTTTGTTTTAGATGCTGTTGAAGTTGAGACGGCTGATAAGCGCCGGAAGTATATGATTGGTTGCACTCAACCTCGGAGGGTGGCTGCAATGTCCGTGTCTCGTCGAGTTGCTGAAGAGATGGATGTTGCAATTGGGGAAGAAGTTGGATATAGCATCCGTTTTGAAGACTGCAGTAGTGCTAGAACTGTTTTGAAGTAAGTAGGTTGTAACATGATAAACCTTTTTTGAGATACTTTAATAATGTAGCTTGTAAATATTTATCTGTTTGCATATATCATCTAGCCGTATCAAAAAATGTTTTCTTGCCTTCTCAAGTTGGTGAGAGATTAGTAATTTATCTCTCTTTCTGTGTGTGGCAGATACTTAACAGATGGTATGCTTTTAAGAGAAGCAATGGCAGATCCTCTATTGGAACGCTACAAAGTAATCATTCTGGATGAAGCCCATGAAAGAACTTTGGCAACAGATGTCCTGTTTGGGCTTCTTAAAGAGGTGCTGAAAAATAGACCAGACCTAAAGCTTGTTGTTATGAGTGCCACACTTGAGGCAGAGAAGTTTCAGGGTTACTTCTTTGGTGCGCCTCTCATGAAAGTGCCTGGAAGGCTTCATCCTGTGGAAATTTTCTACACTCAGGAGCCTGAGAGAGATTATCTCGAGGCTGCCATTCGGACCGTGGTGCAGATACACACTTGTGAACCTCCTGGTGACATACTTGTTTTCCTTACCGGAGAAGAGGAGATTGAAGATGCTTGTCGCAAAATCAATAAGGAGGTTAGTAATTTGGGTGATCAAGTGGGCCCAGTTAAAGTGGTACCTCTTTATTCTACACTTCCCCCAGCTATGCAGCAAAAGATATTTGAATCAGCCCCACCCCCGGTGGTGGAGGGTGGTCCTGCTGGCAGGAAGATTGTTGTGTCAACCAACATTGCAGAGACATCTTTGACAATTGATGGCATTGTGTATGTCATAGATCCGGGATTTGCTAAACAAAAAGTTTATAACCCAAGGGTGCGTGTTGAATCTTTGTTGGTGTCTCCTATTTCGAAGGCCAGTGCCCACCAGAGATCAGGACGTGCTGGAAGGACGCAGCCAGGGAAATGCTTTAGACTTTACACAGAGAAAAGTTTCCATAACGACCTTCAACCACAGACCTATCCAGAAATACTTCGGTCAAATTTGGCTAATACAGTTCTAACTTTGAAGAAGTTAGGTATTGATGACCTGGTTCATTTTGATTTTATGGATCCTCCTGCCCCAGAGACGTTGATGAGAGCACTGGAGGTTTTGAATTACTTGGGAGCATTGGATGATGAAGGGAACTTGACTAGGTTGGGTGAGATTATGAGTGAATTTCCTCTTGATCCTCAGATGGCAAAAATGCTTGTTGTCAGCTCAGAATTCAACTGCTCCAATGAAATCCTCTCAATATCCGCCATGCTATCAGGTACGGTTTCCTTCCAGTTTACTTCCTTTTTGTTGGTCGTCGTGTCTCGTCTTTGTTCTATGTCAGAGTTTGGTCAGGCATGGGAATGTCAGTCCGCTTCACCATGCCTTCTTGTTCATGTGCATAGACATTTGTCTATGCATATGATATCATGTGCGTAACTGCACAACATGTGCACACAGGTGCATGTGTGTGGGGGTTACTTACATGTGTCTTCTTAGGTTGTCATCAGCAACTGTCTTGTCTGGGTTCTATGCCCCCGGTTGGCATGTGCCATAGATTTCTAAGTAAGTGCTGATGGAGGTAGTTGCAGTTTCTCAGTATTCTCTCATGAAGAAAATGGTGTCGTCTCGCCTCTATGCATCTGCTGACCTACAGTGGGCCTCCCCTGTGATAACCAATTTTTTCTCTAGTACCCAATTGCTTTGTCCGGCCTAGGGAGGCTCAGAAAGCTGCAGATGAAGCAAAGAATCGGTTCGGTCATATAGATGGGGATCATTTGACGTTGCTGAATGTGTATCATGCCTACAAGCAGAACTGTAAGTATCCGTATTCAGTCTCTGTAGACATTATATGTCCTTAACAAACAAATTCAGATTTAGAATACCCTTCTAACCCTGATAATGACTTTGATGGTAATGGTATAGCGGAAGACCCTCAATGGTGCTACGAGAATTTCATCAATCAGAGGGCTCTCAAATCAGCTGACAATGTGAGGCAACAGCTTTCTCGCATAATGGCCAGGTTCAACCTCAAGTTATGCAGCACGGACTTCAACAGTCGCGACTACTACGTAAACATAAGAAAGGCTATGTTAGCTGGATATTTCATGCAGGTTGCTCACCTAGAGCGTACTGGGCACTATCTGACTGTTAAAGACAATCAAGTAAGTATCTACCTAGTTCTGGAAGCAACTCATATTAAGGGCTTCAATGGGCGATAATGCTATTGATTTCTCACTATTATGTCATTTTTATCTGTGTTGTTACAGGTGGTTCACTTGCATCCTTCAAATTGCCTGGATCATAAGCCAGAATGGGTTATCTATAATGAATACGTCTTGACAAGCAGGAATTTCATCCGTACTGTGACTGATATTCGTGGTGAATGGTAATTATCATTTGTTTTATCTTTTGATTCTTGATGCTTTAGCAAGTACTTCGCCTCTCTTTCCTTTTATATTAGGACTCAGAACATCTCTCTTCTCCCCGTTGACCGTCCTGTAAATAAAAAAGATAATTATTTTTGTCTAAGTAGTGGTGCCTACTAGTCCGAGGATACTTCAAGACTACAGCAGAAATCAACCTTTTATGCCCTGAACCTTTTTTGAGTCGCAATTTCTAGAATTTCTTACCTTTGTTTGGAAATTGAGAGCGTGTCAGCAAGATGTTCTTGAATTTATCATGATAGTAATGAATCTACTCGAGTACTGTTAATTGGCTGAAACTAGCACATTTTTTCCAACAGACCTTTTGTTCAAATGGACAAATGTATTGTTTGAACTAATTATGATCATATAGCCTACGGTTGACTAATTTTTCCTTGCTATTCTCTTTCTTTTTTTGATATTTTCTTCAGGTTGGTTGATATTGCACCACATTACTATGACCTTGCGAACTTTCCGCAGTGCGAGGCAAAACGAGTTCTTGAGCGGTTATACAAGAAGCGAGAGCGAGAAAAAGATGAAGGCAAGAGCAAAAGATGAATGCATTCTTCATAATTTCAGTTCCTCTCAGCATGCACGCTCCAGGGGAGTTCTGGGGTCAAAATTAGTCAAGATAGGCTAAAGATTGATGTACTATCTACTATGTACTGTAATTGTTTGTATGGTTCCAGTCTGAACGATTTAGTACCTGTTTCTTGTTGCTGGAGTAATCTGTTTCTTGTTCCTTGCCTCCAATGTCCTGATATATCAGACCAATTCTTTTAGCTCTTTCCTCTATTGAAGCAAATGTACGTAGCGCTTCCACTGCATAGTCCCCGAAAATGCCCCGCCTGTAAGTTCCTTTGTCGTTGGGGAAAAAAAGATCTCTTTTTTTTTTTAGATTCGAAATTCTTCGTTTTTTTCTCCCAATTTCCCACTCTTTCTGTGAGGCAAAACTTCACCACACTACACTACACTTCGACACAAGAGAAGAGGACCGGGCGCTTTGTATCTTCGGGATAGGAGTTGGCGGAAACTGAGCTAGGAGTAACTCATTTTATACAGGATGCTCCTGCATAACACCTCGAAGGACTTCCTGTAGGGTTGGTCAAGTTTTTCAACAGTTCTTTTTCCAAAGCAAGTTCTTGAGTGATAAGACTGCATTGAAAATGTGATATTTGGCATTGATTTCAGAAAAGTGAATATCCACGACAATAAAAAAACTAGTTTCTTTATTGCTTTTCATTGATTCATGAAAAGCTTGCATGTTCGTTGGGAAATGAGCCAAATCCTTGCTTGTGCATTTGTTGAAACGATAAGGTTTCTTTATTGCTTGGCATCTCTTAGATGATTCATGATCTTCTCATTCTCTTTTTCCTCTTTTCGGTCGAATGAAGTGCAAAACGAGGGAGCAGTTAAATTGTAGGGTCAAACAATTTAGTGTCGGTTACATAAATGAAAATTCGTGGTAGTTGCTGCTGCAAAGATGAAGTGGAAAAATCTATCCAAATTTCTTTTTGAACTTAATCAAAGCATGTCAAACAGTCGACTGTGTAACTAACTGACGGGTCCATGCACAAACTACCAGAGTTAAACGGGGATGATTAAGATATGCACAAACTAATTTCTTTTTCTGAAGAAAAAAAACCCAAAGAAACTAAGAGGTATTTCTGAATGTGGGTCTTACTTGTTTCTCCTACCATAGTAGCATTAGTGCACAAAGAAAAGGTCGAAGGTATTCCTTTCTTCCATTCAAATGCAAGGAAAAGACTTACACTTTATGTCTGGTTGGAGAATAGGGAAACTTGGGCACTAGATGGAAGTAAATGGCCTTACACTCTTTAGCCCCTAAAATCCTGGATTCTCATTGTCTCAAATGTTAAATGCTTACCACCCTTCACATATTCAACTCCCTAGTATATTAACCTCCTTTTGTTTTGTGTTACGAGTAGGTTTCTGACACCTCATAATTGATGAACAATAAATTCCTGAAGCGGTTGTACATAGGTATTGAGATATGACTAATCTTTTAAGAGCTATAGTTCAGTGTTATGCAACCAAATTCTGTGGCATAAATATAATCGAGTCTGGTTAGTCTTATGCAGTATGTCTAATGAGAGAAAGAGGTGACCGCGAAAAGATTTCATTCAAGTGCTTAATTCAGAAGGTAAGACAGATTATTCGTACAAATCAATGTTATATCAGACATTAACTCAATGTATATAAGTTCAAACAGCAGATTGCTGAGTTGCACTGCCTCAGCATTCTAAAATGTTATTAGCATTTAGGTACTGCATTAAGCCTTTGGTAGAGATCATCAATTTCCACCTGCAAAAGCCATAATGAGTATCAATTTGGTCATTGTCCAATTCTTTCTCATTCTAATGAACTGAATAAATGGACGAACTGGTTAAGAAGAGTGTGCCGAAAACTCATCACCTTGTAATGCTTAACCAATCTCTCCCTTCTTTTTTTCATTGTTGCTGTTACCAAGTCCTGGTTAAACTCAAAGGGTTGAGGTTCTAGAATCACGCCTTTGATGCACTCGAAACCTCTTAGCTGTTTTCATAGAAGTTAGATAATTCAAACCGCTATTACAGTACTACTCCAACAACACTTAAAGATTGTATATTCCTGACCTTGTTCCTTTCTGCAGCAGTTTTCAGCTCAAAGAGAATATGTTGATTTAGCTCTTGGAGAGAACAAAGTTGAGGAATTGAACCCTTGTGTCCATTTTGATCGGCCCATTTTTTGGCGTTCCCTTCGTGTGGCACCACAACTGCCACCAACATGGACTTGAAGCTGTCCCCATATACCCATATCTGTAAGTACACAAATGCATTGCTCTCAAGAACATAATAACTCAAATATGAAAAGCTTTTCATGAACTCGAATGATATGATATGGTTCTCACATCTTCAACGATGGGCGCAATACCATAAACCTTTTCCAGATATTCCATTGCAACATATTCTCCTTGAGATAGCTTTATAACATTTTTCTTTCTATCAATGATTTTTACAACTCCATTAGGCAACATTTCTCCGATGTCACCTGGATAACGTAAAGACTTACTATTTCATAGTGAAACGGAAACAACATTCTTAAGCATACAGTAAATATAAACTGATCAACCTGTATGAAACCACCCATCTTTGATGGCCTCTCTTGTCAATTCTGGATTCCTGTAGTATCCAGTAAACGTAGTCCTCCCTCTCACACATATCTCTCCCCGGGGAGGATCTCCTAATGGATCATAACCCATTTCTGGAACTTCCTCTAAACGTACCTCTGTGAAGACAAATGGTGGACCAACAGTTCCAAGCATGCTCATTTCATCTGGATGCCCAATGGTGGCCAAACCACAAGTCTCTGTCAAACCTACAGAACATACTTTGGATTATAATGCATAAGTCAATGAAGCAAACTACATATAGCGTGTTAATAACTTGTTAGAACGAATAGGTTATAATGTTAGCCATCAACATCAAACTTAACAAAATTCAGTATAGCTAATAAAAAAGATAAATTCTACTTTTAAGAAGTTTCAGTTTTGGAGTGACAATAATATTTGAGACATAGGCATGTTGACTTGCAACTATGCAAGGACACGTTATGTCTGAGCGTGGATGCTTTGGCACATAAAACTGAGGTAAGACAGCTCATTCCTCTGCATCGCATTGCTCTTATTGACTACTAAATAGTCACAGCTAGTCTATTGGAGTGTTCATCGAGTTATATTAACAGATCCTTTTTGTTGATTCTGAAAAATAAGCTAGATTTACCATAGCCTTGGAGGACGAAGCCACAGGAGGTAACCCGCAAGAACTCTTCCACCTCAGTGCTTAAGGGAGCACCACCAGAGACTATAAGGCGAATCCGTCCACCTAACCTATTCTTTACCTAAACAACAAGACCAAATAAATTTGTCAGTAAGATCAATGTAATTTCAAAAAATTAAAAAATATATGAATATGCTACTGCTACTTTAGGAGTTCTGAAGAATGCTTATATAAAGAGTAGAAAAACTTAAAAGGGAAGTTTCTTCAGGGCACAACAAGCATACATTATTTCAGGAAAGGTTACAAGAAAGTGAGACATAATTAGGAAAAAGACACAACCTTTCTAAAAGCTAGCAGATCAGCAAGTGGTGAAGCATACTTCTGTTTATACCCAAGCTTCAACCATTTGAGTTTGCTGGTTTTTTTTAGATAGAATCAGAAAGGATTGGCAAACAATAGAATATAAAATTTTGAATAGAACAAACAAAAACAGAATAGTACTAGTTATATAGAATGTGGAACATGCTCCTCCTAAAGGGATTGAGTTCTCCAAGTGCTTTCAGAACACCTGATAATCATAATTTGAAACTTGATTAGCATCATTCGAATTGTTTACAGATAGCATCTATATAATTCAGGAAAAAACTAAGATTTCATGCCTTCATGAATCTTTTCATAAACTCGAGGTACTCCAGCCAAAAAGGTTGGCTTCAACTCCATAAGGTCTTCTTGTATCTCGTTGATATTCTTCAACACAAAAACGACAAGAAGCATCAGTCTCCGTAATCATTAAATTAAAATTTTAAGACCTCACCATAGTATTAAGATATCAAGTTATAGAGTGGCAAAAGGTGAAATTGGACAGGAAATCTTGCTAGGTGAATTGGTGATAAATGAATGTTGTGTGCTTTCACTCTGTGTTTTTGGTTTATATTACCCGGGGTGTTATTTTCTCTCCACTTAAACTATAATTGAATGTAGCCAGATATTAAGCTTGTTTCCCACTACACATAAAATTTGTGTGACACATTTAGTTCGAACACCTTACCCCATGGTAATAGCCAACAGAAGCACCCCTATGAAAGAAGAATTCTTCAATCATCCGATCAAGTATATGAGCAAGTGGTAGGAAAGATATGTACACATCATCCGGCGTCATCTATTCAGAGATCAAAGATTAGTTAGAGAACAATAAAATTCTGCCACTTCTGATGTATGGATTTGTCTAACTCAAAATACAAAAGAATCATAAGGACCAAAGAGGTTGCCAACACAAATTATAAAGAGCAATGAAAGTCAATTACAAAGAGAACTTAGAAAGGGAAATCATGATAAGACACAGATTTACTATATACTAAGAAAGAGATGACCTGAAATTCTCGGAAAAGGATTTGCGCTTACCTTGTCTTCAAATTCTTCCATAAAATGATCAACTCCTGTTACAGATGCAGTCATATTTTCATGAGTCAATATTACACCTTTAGGTTCTCCGCTAGTTCCACTAGTATACATGATTGTACATATGTCTAATGGCCGCGGCGGTGAAGGCTCTGATGGATTATCTTTGCCCTGAAAAAAAAAAGGATATGAAAAAAATTCTTCAAAATTAAAAGCCACCTGAAAAGGAAAAGGTCACCCTTTTTTTTTCTTTGGAAAGCATAAAAATTTCTCCTTTCCTTTATCAATAATGTTCAGCCATCAGTATATAATAGTGCTAATGGACATTTCAATGATAATAGTGATCAAATAAAGAAGAGAAAAAGTAAAAGAATGAACTAAAGAAACTTTTAGTAAATTACCATATTGAGGAATCCATTCCAAGAGTATGGCTTAATACCCATAGAAACTGCCTTATCCTTCTCTTCCTGCTGCAGCGAAGTGAAACACACGACCACTGCAACCACAAGAAAACTCGATAAAAAGAATGCCAATCTAGCAGCTGCAACCAATAGGAGGCAGACTTACATTTCAGCCGTTTAGCATGTGTGCACTCCGAATTTAAAAGCTGCAGAGAGAACATCGAATAGAGACCATCATATAGCTCAGATATCCAAATCAAGTAAAGGGAAAAGAAACATTTAAGGGGCTTTAGATGATCCTCACTTCTTTCACTTTCTTATCTTGAACAAAAACGATATCAATCTCAGCATGTTCAATAATAAAATTAACAGCGCCCGGTCCTACATCACCAGAAAGGCATGGAAATTAGAGAGAAGCAACATTCTCAGGTAACAAACTGCCTAACTTAAATGTATAATTTTGATATTAACAGCATAATTTAGTTGCTTTTTTTAATATGTGGAAAGATTATTTACCAAGGGTATCATAGAGAGGGACACATATAAAGCTGTGGGCACTGCAAGCCTGCAAACAAAATCTAAATCGTCTTATCAAATTATGCGAATGGATAACTCTTTTGACAAAATTAAGTGCATTATTTTTACACATCATTGAAAACATAGGCAAACCTGCATTGCTACTATCCACTGAGGACAATTGGATCCATAAATTCCAATTCGAGCACCCTGTTACACATGCAAATATTACGTATTGTATTTGATTTATGTGACATTCTTATGAAGCTAAATTGATAACAAATGCTAATTAAGTGAGCATATTCCTTACAGGTTCAATACCATGAGCTCTCAATGCAGATACAGTCTGTAAAATCTCTTCATAAGCTTCTTTGTATGTTTTCCAGAGATAAGGACCCCACTATTTTTTTTTTTTTAAAAAAAAAGGAAGGAGATAAGATGGTGAGTATATTCAGAAAAATAGTAGTACAAAGGATGACAGAAAACCAGATAACGTTGGACTCCACCTTTCCATCCTTAAAATCACGCCATCCCAACATTTTATTCCCTGGATATTTTTCAACAGCTGCTCTGTTGATCAAAAGAATATATTTTTCTTTCAATTCACGTAAATAGAGTAGTAGTAAAGATATATGCTTCACTTTGACACTATACTAACTTTGGATACAGAACTAATGGAGAAAGGGCAGCTCGGTGCACGTGTTTATGCAGGTCGCACCCCAAGGGGTGTGACGTAGTCAGTCTACCCTAATGCAAGCATCAGTGACTACTGATTCCATGGCTCGAATCCGTGACCTATAGGTCACACGAGACAACGTACTTTACGGTTGCTCCAAGGCTCTCCTTCAAGTAATGGAGAAAGTAAACAAGAAAATGTAAAATGGACTTGGGATCTCTGCTTTCTTGTTTTCGTTGAAGACATAACTAAAAGAATAGAAATGTGCATTCTCCAACAGATTAAGCTTTTAAATGAAACGTTCACACAAAATCAGGATTAAGCTGAAGGGAAAATGTTACCTGAAAAGTTGCCAAGCTGTAGACAAATGAGGATCAGTTGGAGGAAAACCATTTTTAGCTATTGGATTTCGATAAACAGGACCAACTGATGGCTGTCCATTTTGACCTTCTTTTCCCTCCTCCACCTTCAAACCGAACATGTTCATGCTCATTTTTCCAACTCTTCTGACTCAGCCCACAAAACTCAACTACAGTATGTATATCACAAACTCCAACCTTAGTTGGTCCCAACAGAGCTGCATGAGAGGAGTAATGAACCCAATTAATGTTGAAGCTAACTAGTTTCGTACATGAACAGAATAATACTCCCTCCCGTCCAATTTAATTAATTTTTTGCCTTTTCCATGGTCCATAATTTTTGCTTTTTTTGTTTTATCCAGAATCCTTTAGTAAAGAGCCCAGTAGTATTTGTTATATTTCTAATAAGCAAATTAAGGTTAATATGATTAATTGCATTATTAATTAATGCTAAAAGGTAGTAAATTTTTAGTATGCGTGAGAACAGTCAAAAAATCAATTAATTAGTCTGATCAAGAAATAAAAAGGAAATGCGTAGAATTCATAAAACAGAAGCTTAGCAGATGATTAAAATTAAACTTTTGTAAGGAATATAAAAAAGTAAAGTGGGAATTTTGATAGTATTTGAGTATTTTACAAGATAGGCATAAGTAAATGGTTTGACGCTTTGTTTGTAATTTTTTTAGTAGGGGTAGCAGCAAAATGATGTGAGATGAGCCGTTAGAAACGCACCAAAAAACTCTGTTTTTCCCCTCTTTCCCTACACTAAGCTGTGCAGTGCCAATAAAGAAACCAAGGCATGTGTAGGGATGGCACTGGGGTGGGGCGGGGCGGGGGCGGGGCGGGTTTTGGCAAAAAGTTTTACAAAAAATTCAACCCGCCCCGCATAGCTATTTTTTCAGTTTTCAGCCCGCCCCGCCCCACTTAATTTTTTCTTCTTTTTTCTCTAATTTTTTTTCTAAAACAAACTAGTTTGGGTTACTATCACTTCCTATTACTAATATGTTATCTTGACTTATGTAATATTATTTTGGTGAGACTTATGCAAATTGATTAATGCGGGTTCAATGCAAATTGGTTAATATCAATGCTATATTTTGTTCTGATTCAATTTTCTATTTCGTTACTATTTTCTCCCTTCAATGACGGACACGTAAATGCAATCAAATTTAAATATAAATTATTTTTAAAAAATTTCTGAAAATATATATAGAGCTCCAAACGTAACTAGATTTTATAGTAGTTGTTAAGACTTGAGAATATGTGAAAAGTTTGAGAAGATAACACAATCGGAGAAAAATTGTCATTCTTCAAAAAGAAAAATATTCATATCAAGACTAATAATAGAAGACGATACGAAACTAAAATTTTCAAAACTAACTGGATATATGTAGAACCCCAAAACCAAATAATCAAACTTGTTAAAGTTGTATGAAGTAATATTATTACAATAACAGTACATAATGTTAAACATTTTAGAATATTCCAGCATGAAAAAGTATAAATTAAGACTAACAACAATAAATATTTAAAACATAAGATTCAGTCATAACAAGTGGTAATTAATTAGTGAACTTAGCATGCATGGGAAAGTGTGATTATTAAATCATTGCTTGTGATCACATTTAAGATTTCTCAAGTGGCATATTGGATCACTGGATGGATATCAAGTACGTATAAGATATGGATTTTGATTATTTAAGTTTATTTTAACCAAAATAACATTGGATGGATATCAAGTACGTCAGGTTTCCCCCGCATTGAACCCGCAGCCCGCCCCGCCCCGCTTTAAAAAATTTAAAATTATTTTAACCCCCCCCTTCCCCCCGCACCCGCATAAGAATAAACTCGCCCCGTCCCGCATCAAACAAAATCCGCCACGCACCCGCCCCGCCCCATTGCCATCCCTAGGCATGTGAAGTTACCATTTCCATACCCCAGTCCCATACAAATTAATAGAGAAACCAAATTCGTAAGGGGCAGGGTTGTTAGCTTTGTATTGGCTCTCATTAACGGGGCCCTTAGTTGAATATCGATCAAATTTGTTTAAAATTTTTAAACTTTTCTAATATAAAATTATTAGTTATGTTAAATATCCCGAAAAGCTGAAACCTCTTATTCCGGTCCATAAGGCCCATACTTCGGATCCTACTTGGACAAAACGGAAGATATTGCCAATAAATTGTTAGAACATGCGCAGTGGAAGGAAGCATACAATCCAGGCATCAAATACATGTAAACTAGACAATGCTATAATCACAAGATTAGAAGCACTAACCTCTTGAAATCGTTGCACAAATCTTCCAAACCGCAAGAATCCAGGGCTGCAGTCTTCTGCTATATGCCTAGTAAAAACCTTGGACGATTTTGCTTTTGGGTGGGCAAGAACAATACAACTCTAAAAGGTGGTTATTGGGTGAAATTAGTCTTCCTTTAATAGACTTATTTTTGGACGAAATTCAGCTCCAAAAACGTGTAGAACTCTGCTTTTACAAGTAGAATCCTACTCCAGCTCTACTAGATGACTTTTCTCCCAAGTTACTTTTTACCCAAGTCTTGTCCAGGTTTTTAATAGGTATACCAGGGACCACAGAAATAATAAGAGGCTACCAATTATAGCATTAAGTCGAAATTAGCATGAATTAATTCTTACTATAATTAATTGCAATTTATTCCACTAAAAAACTGCAATTGAACTCCTCAATATGAATTTCGAAAATTCAATAACACTTATTTTAACTCCCCATGATAAGATCTCAAATACCAGTTAATTAGATTAAATCACTGAAAATTTAATTTAATCAACTAATTAAATCATTTACAATTCCGCTTAAACTATTTCATGTGAGTGATACAAAATCCACCGGCCGGGTTTTCACATGAAAACTTATAAGCTTACATAAAGGGGTATCATCAAACTCAAAACCGAGTCATGGATTCTATCAACTAATTAGTATTCACAAATGTTATTCGTTATTGTCCAATCTATTAGGCATACACTAACTCTGAATAGAGCCGCACCTTTTGATAAATCAAAACAATAAACAAATTACGTTGATCATAATAATTATATCAAGATTAGGAGTATAAGCTCATTTAATGAATTAGAGAAAATGTTTTATATATTCAGTACAAAAATATTTTTTCTCTACTTGGTCCGTTCAATATACACTGAGTATATCAGTACAAGAAGTCGGAGTGAAACCACTCCCATAATCAAGATAAATTATACTATAATCTTGTGCTATAATCATTAAGATATTTTGTCCAATAATATCTTTGATTGTGAACATAGTTTATTAATTATGAGAACCAACAATTTATTCTTTTGTGCATGAGTTAAGACTCCATACACTAAATTGTCTACTACATAACTAAAAGGACACACATGTAACAAATGATCTATTTAAAATAGTACTTTATTAAATTGAATAAAATTAAATAAATAATTGTTCCATAAAGAATAAAATAAAATACTATGTCTAAACCGCATGGTTAATAGTATGTCACAACAATCTCCCACTTAGACTCATAACCATGCGTCTACTACTCTAACACCCATTCCTTCTACATGCTTGTCAAAAATCTTCTGTGCCAAGCTCTTTGTAAACGGGTCTGCCAAATTATCCTCTGACGCAATCTTCAACACCTTGCATCACCTCTCTGAGTTATGTCCCGAATTAAGTGATATTTACGCTCAATATGCTTACTCCTTTTATGGCTTCTTGGTTCCTTCGAGTTTGCAACTGCACCACTATTGTCACAATAAAGTACAATCGGTGTTTGAACCGAAGGAACCACATTAAGCTCTTTCAAAAAGTTCCTGAGCCAAACAACCTCTTTTGCTGCCTTAGATGCAGCCACATACTCAGCTTCCATGGTGGAATTAGCAACACATGATTGCTTGATGCTCCTGTAACTTATGGCTCCACCTCCTAAGGTAAAAACATATCCTGAGGTAGATTTTCTAGAGTCTCTATCTGACTGGAAATTTGAATCAGTATAGCCAATGGGTGCAAGATCACCTGAGTGATACACCAACATATAATCCCTAGTCCTTTTCAAGTACATGATTATATGCTTAACGGTAGTCCAGTGTTCTCGTCCAGGGTTAGACTGAAATCTACTAACCATGCCAACAACAAAGCAGATGTCAGGTCTAGTACATAGCATAGCATACATAAGACTCCCTACAGCAGAAGCATAAGGGACCGCCTTCATCTTTTCTATCTCATCAGTCGTTTTTGGGGACTGATCTTTCGACAGAAAGATTCCATGTCTAAAAGGGAGAATCCCTTTCTTGGAATCTTGCATGCTAAACCTGGTGACAATAGTATCAATATAAAGTGCTTGGGACAAGCCTAATATCCTTTGCTTCCGATATCGCATAAGCTTGATCCCAAGGATATGTGCTGCTTGTCCCAAGTCTTTCATATCGAAACGTGAGGACAACCATTCCTTTACTGATTCAACATGCTCATATTATTTCCTATGAGCAAAATATCATCTACGTACAAAACCAAAAATGTAACTTTATCTCCATTCCACTTCTTATAGACACAAGACTCATTTTCACATTGATCAAAACCGAAGGTTTTAATCGATGTGTCAAAACAAGTGTTCCATGCCCTAGAAGCTTGTTTCAATCCATACATGGATTTCTTTAATTTACACAACATGTGCTCACTGCCACTTTTTATGAAACCAACTGGTTGTGCCATATAGATGCACTCATCAAGACTTCCATTTAGAAAAGCCGTCTTGACATTCATTTGCTAGATCTCATAATCGTAATGAGCAGCAATGGATAAGAGAATCCTAATGGATTTAAGCATGGCTACTGGCGAAAAAGTTTCCTCATAATCGATCCCTTCTTTTTAAATAAACCCTTTTGCAACAAGCCTAGCTTTAAAAGTTTGCACTTTTTCATCCACTCCTCTCTTTTTCTTATAGATCCATCTACAACCAATGGGTTTGACTCCAGTAGGTGGTTCTACAAGATCCCAGACTTGATTGGAGTACTGGACTCCATTTCAGATTTCATAGCATTAACCCATTTATCAGCATCTATATCCTCTAGTGCTTCGTCGTAATTAATAGGTTCTGTATTAGGCTCTTCAGGGATTCTATCGTAAGATTCTCCCAAGAGCGCAAATCGGAGAGGTTTTCTAATAATTCTCCCACTACGACTAGTCACTATAGGTGGAGGCTGATTTTTTTGTTGAATCACAACATCATTTTCTAGAACTGAAGCCTCAATGTTATCCTCCACACCTTGCGGTGTT